GTGCCAGTGCAACTTGAGTCCCGAATATACCGTAATGATCCGTCTAACAGCGCTGTATGACAGCAAATGGTGGTCAAATACACGAATCGAAGTACAAGCATAGTGTCATGAAGACAGGAATGCTGCGGTGGACATTGGGTATCACCTTGCAGGATTATGTCTGTAATGATACAAAACTAAGATGGAAGTTGCTCTTATCAAAAAGAAGATGCAGGGGAAACGACTGCGAGGTACGGGCACGTGAGGCGAAGAGATGAGACCCATATCGCGAATGGCAATGTCTCTGCTGGAAAGAGACCACGGAGAAGGCCATAGATGAGGTAGATAGACAGAATCAGAGGCTTGAGAGTGCTGGATAGTGAGCATCATCTATAATCGAGAATACTGGAGATAGCTGGCTTGTACGGCAGACTCTACCTAAGCCAAAAATGAAGATAAAGAAATCAATTTTGAGTACTTCAGTAGCAAATTGCACGAATGCGTTAATTAACTTGTTCAGTCTAAAAGCCTTTTATGTTTTGTCCGTGAAATAACTTGTTTCACGAATTATTTTTAGAAACGGTTAACTTTTGGCGTAAAATTCGAAATTATGGTTTTGACATGGTACAACTGCTACCGACGAGAAAGCCATCAGCAGAGATCAAAGAGGAACTCTGAATAGTAATTGATTGGCGACCGATTGATTGTTGTGCAGAGCAATGTGTGTTTGATTGCGTTATCATGTGTTCCCTGAATTTGGACGTTAGACTGGAATCTATTTTATCATTTATCATTTGATGTATTCATGATGATGTTAAGCTTTTCTGTTGTTAAATTAAGCTGTTGGACTCTTTATGTCATACGGATATACTTAATTTAATAGAGATTAGAAAGCATGTAGGAGTGCCAAAAAACTGTAATGTTGTTGCATTCACTAAAGTAATAGTTCTCAAATGTAAACTCACGATTTATCAGCGTAAAATGTAACAGGGTGAAAATATGTTCCAATAAGAACTTTTTTTGGATTTGAAGACAGTTTTAATGAAATCATTTTTTGTTTTTCTACACAGTCTCCGAATCACAGAATTTACACCTTTACTAGTTTTAATTTTATGATGGTTGACAAATTCAATTAAACTTCAAATTGTTTAAACATTACTAGAGCACTACGTATGAGAAAATCCCACGATTTTTGTCACCATGTGTTTGGAAGAAATTTTAACACGATCACTACGAACCCTTTTGAAGAAAATTGAAATCACATAAAACTCCACATCATTACATGAAATGTTTTAAGAAATTGCAATATACGTTTGAAATTTGAAATAATCCTCCATCCCATTAGGGTATAAGGTGTTTCAAAATTACCTCTTAATTTTTTTGATTTGTTTGTTCTTTCATCTCTTTATAAAAGTCACCTTCTTTGATCGGAGTTTCTCGACTTTTCTTACATAAGAAAATTTTAGAAAGACAATGAAGGATAAAAAACAAAAGGAGATGGTGTAAAAAAAAACATTTTAAAAGCACGGAAGAATACCCACTGACAAAATATGACGAGCCACCCAACCACTTACATTACAGATTTGGCACTGTGATAGTTGGATATGAAGTGTCTTCTTTCTAAATTTTATAACGTACCGCCTTCTGTAATTTTTCAAAGAAAAGCACATTGCAAACAAGGAAAGCAGACTTGAAATTAGCATTTCAAACTGCATTCATTAGTTTACCCTCAGTATATCTGCATGTTCCCTCTAGTAAAAAGTTGAATGTTCACGATAGTCTTAAATATACAGTTATATCTAAAATAATATCGAACACTAGTTGCATATCTGCATGAGGTATTGTAAGCATAAGCTTACTTAGATGTTAATCATAGCGTTTTTTTTTCAATTTTTGTGCTTCTTCAAACAGAAAGGGGTAGTAATTTCCTAAAAATTGTTGCAACAAGAACGAGCATGCTGACAGCTCCGAACATGGGATGAGGTAGCCACGAAGGCGGCGGTGAGCTTTTCCAGTTTCAAGATAGACGCAACCGCGCCACCACGTCATCGAACCTGCGCTAGGTGAGCAATTTTTTCTGCAGTTCTGACCCCTTTTACGACTTGTCCTACGTGACCTTCCACCGTGACACAGTGACATTTGACAGTGGCAACTACTTCTTAAGATTGTCTGTAGTGGCGAAACTTAAAAGACATTTCCTGCGCGTAAAGTATGGGTGGCCCCCGTGATGGTCTACCGCCTCATCGTGGTGCGGGGGTGACTCTGGGTGTCGAACTGCGAAGTACAGCGGAGGTTTATCCTCCAGCAGGGTT